GCCATTGGAATGGGCTGCCCAGGGAAGTGGGGGATTCTCCATCCCTGGAGGTTTTTAAGCTGAGACTGGATGTGGCATCAGTGCCATGGGCTGGGAACCACAGCGGGGTTGGATCAGGGGTTGGACTGGATGATCTCGGAGGTCCCTTCCAACCCAGCTGATTCCATGATTCTAAATGGCAAAGGAGCTCGTTCCTATTTTTCAGATACAAGGCCACATGTTCCAGGACACACAGGAGTGGGAGGTGTCTCTGCCCATGGCAGGGAGCTGGAATGGGATGATCTTTAAGGTCCCTTCCAACCCAAACCATCCTGTGATTCCATCTGATAAAAAAGCTCATTCTGCCTCTTTCCCTGCACTGTATCAAACTGCTTGTTCTTTATACTCTGTAAACTTTAAGAAGCCATAATTAAAATACTTGTTTCATCTATTCCAGTTTGCATTTTCAAATTTTGTATGCAAATGCAATCCAGTCAGACAGTTCCAAATAAAAGAATAAGTCAAGATTATATATATATTCACATGGCCTATGTTTTAAAATAACTCAAGGCTCTTAAAAAGTGCTGTTTTTATTTAACAATCATCCTTCTTAGTTTGGGGCTAATTCACTGAGTGGTTAATGCTTTAGTGTTTCTCTAGGTAGAAATATTATATATAATACAGATATAGTAAATAATATTGCTCTGCTGGTCCAACAGCTGTCCCAAACAGCCTAAAACATCTCTAAATGACAAAGGAACTCACTCCTTTTTTTCAGATACAAGGCCACATGTTCCAGGACACACAGAAGGAGTGGGAGGTGTCTCTGCCCATGGCAGGGAGCTGGAATGGGATGATCCTTGAGGTCCCTTCCAATCCAAACCATCCTGTGATTCTGTCTGATGAAAAAACTCACTCTGCCTCTTTCCCTGCACTGTATCAAACTGCACTTCCCATATCTAACCCCCTGCACCTCTTCTTCCAGCTTCACAGGGATCCTAAAGCTCCAGGACAACGAGGCTCTCAAAAGCTGTTCCAAAGCAGTTTGCTGGAGCAGCAGAGTGGTGGGTGGGACCATCTCACCTTGTGTTACCTCCCACTGATTCCTCTTGCTCAGGTGCTGTTTATGTAGCTACTGATGTCACTGGAGAAACAGATCCTCATAAATCCTTTTAATTCCTGCAGATCCTTTTAAATGTTTCTACGTAGGTGAAGCAAACAACATTGGCCTCAGCTCCAGGGGACATGAAGTCACCTGGTTTTTTCCTGAAGCTCCAAATCAGTTCAGACTCCCATCCAACAAAGTTTTTCCAGTCCTGCACTCAAGGTGCCACCACAATGACACTACAGCTCAGTGACAATACCCAATTCTGTGACTTTAATATGAGAATATCCCTTCCTGAGGTGTTCAACAGGCTGAGGGTGAAAGGGGACAGGGACACACAGAGGTTCCTCCAAGTAAGAAAGGTATTCAAGAGCTCAGAGAACAAGACAATCATTATTCACAGAACCAGCTACTATTCTGAGGCAGATATTTCTACTATGTACTTTTGCTGGCATCTTAATCCATTTAGTTCATAATTTATTGGGCTACTGAAAAGGAAATCTCCATGTCCAATGACAGGCTGAAGACACAGGAGAAAAATACCTCCATATGTCAGGTTCTTGGGAGATTTTAAGCTTGTTGTTGCCCTCATGAAGAGGGAGGGGAAAGATGCAAATATATTACCTCGTGCTAAGGAAGCCTAAAGCAAATCTGAACAGCCCCCGTGCAACCAAAATTCATGTTCCAACAAAAGCAAGGTTACAACTGCGTGTGGGGGGGGATAAAAATCAGGAAAACCCCCCAGATTAGATTGGGAAGGAAATGGGAGGGAGGTTGTGGAAGCTGAGGGGACAGATGGGGAACTGGGCCAACAAGCTTTTAGGAGAGGCCTGTGTGATTCCCAGCAAAGTAGAGAAGATTAATTGCATAGTGTTGTCTAAGCCCTACTCAGTTCTTTTTAATACCTTGTTTAAAGCTGTGCATGAATTCATTATATCCATGCAAATTAATAAGAGCAGTATTTATACAGTAACAATGTAGTGCCACCTTTCACTTGGAAAAATTCCAATTATCTTGATTATGTATTTATTTACAGTTTGTTTTCTATTGCTCCAATACAGCTGCTGAGCTCAGCATGGAAAAAAAGCTGCATTAAGTGCTGGATTAAGTACTGTACAGCAACAGGGTAAACACAGAATGAGATTTTAAGCAAGGACTTCACAGGAGGAAAATGCAGACCTTTAACTTTCATCCATATCAGATAAGAGTATTTAAGGGACAGAATCAAATGACTGGAAAGGATTTCCTTTCCTTAAAGCCTAGGAGATGTAAGCTGAAGACAGCTATCCCTATTGCACACACCTTTAATTTTCATCTTTCTAATCCTTGCTGTGTCTCATTAATTTAAACTCTCTAATCTCTCTTAAAATTTATGTAATTTGCACCCTTAGCTACAAATACATCTTCCTGTGTGTAACAAGCTGTAAGAGCTCCTTCTGTAACACATGCTAAAACTGGTTTTTGGATAAATTAAGCACAGGAATGTGTATTCAAGATCTCATCCTGTTGAGAAATTACCTTTGAAATCGAATTTAAAAATCAGTATATTCAGTTAAGATTCCAGTTAAGCTCATGTCCCTCCAGAACTGAGCTAATGTTTGTTCTCACCACCCTCAGCACTTTTCAAGACAAAGTTTTACAAAAGCACAAAGAGCAAACTGAGCAGAAAAGTTTCAGTGCTGGGGCACCTCTCTTATGCTAATTATTACTAATCATGTAATAAGCAGATTCTTAAATGACAGAACAGTTACAAATACCCCATTATCACACAGACTGTGGTTTTCCCTGTTCTTTCACTGAATAACCTCCTCCACACCAGCTCCAACCACCCCTCCATCCCACTACAACAGGGCAAAATTGAGATCACAAACTGGTTTCCCGTCTTCATTTCAAGCCCCAGCTCTTTCTGCAATAAAGCCAGTGTCTCACATTGTACTCCTGGGCCCACACAACAGCTGTTCTCCACAGATTCTGAATTATTTTTCATCCTCTGACACCGAAAATAAGATTGTCACCAGAGCCAGAGCTTCTGCAGCTCCCTATTGCCACTGCTCGGGCGACAAATATTCCCCAGCCTCGAGCCCTGAGCAGGGACAAACAGCTCCTCAGAATGGTTTGGAGTGATGGATGAAAGGAGTCCAAATTGGAGCTGAAGCATTTCAAGAGATAAGCTGCTCTGGCTAATGCTGGGAGAGCTCAGTGAAAAACACACTCTTGGACTTGCAGGGGGAAGGAGGAGTGTGGAATTCAGCACCTCCCGCCAGGAGCAGTGGCTGGGCTGACCCACACCCCTTGGAGCACCCACAGCCACCAAAACTGGGGGCAGCACTGCAAACATTCCCATCTGCACTGATGCCTTAAGGTCCATCTAGTTTTTTGACTTTTCTAATTTTTCTAAGTTTCATAAGTAGTTACACAGCAGAAGCAGATTTTAGAAGCAGCAGCATTTATTATTCCCTTACCCTTTGCCCAGTAACTACAACCCTTTTACCCCAATTCCCCACATCAATCCCCCTGAATTCCATTAGAAATGTTTAGTCTCTCTTCAAGATAGGCCTCTTCTGTTTGAGGACATCTAATCCTGGCCTGAACTGCAAGAGTACAGTCAAGACCTGGGTAACCATGTGCCCCCTGTACCCCAAAGAAGATGAAGATGATGAAGAAAAGGGTCTCAAAGACCCCAGCCCCAATTCCCCAGGGGTGGGACTGGGGGTGGACCAGGGCAAAAGCCAGGGGGTGGAAAAACCTGGGATTGGACAGAGAATATTATAACATCTGTAACAGAAGCATCTTGTAACCCTATGCCTAGGCACAAATTAAATCCTTTCCTTATCTCGCCCTCAAAACTAAGTTGTCTTGGGAGTTTTTTCTCCCTGAGTTTTCTTTCAGGCATCAGTACTCACACAGTGACATTTCTGTAGCTGAGCTATTACACAGCACCTCACAGAAAAATGAGATTTGACCTCCTGAGTTTCCCAGGTTTTCAGTTTGGATCCATCTCTGTTTTGCTCACTGTGGTACACTGAGCATTTCACAGCAAAGGGATGTAAAAGCACCAGGGCCCTTCAGCCCACACTAAAGCCAAACACAGTTATTTATTGCTTGTGGGGGAACAAACAACTGCAGTCAACACTTCTGAGATGCTGTGCAGGTGAACAGAGAAGTTTGTACTCAAAATGTGGGGAACACGCAGGGCTGAATCATCTCATTTTCAAGTACAGGTTGAGGAAAATGTTAACTGGCAGCAGCCACAGGTTAGACCTTGAAACCTTACATGAGACCCTAAAAACTTGATGTTCAGAGGCACATCCAAGACATGCAGAGCACACCCCAAGCTCCTGGTTCTGTGCCCAAAACATCCCAGACACTTGCTGGTGCTGACACTGCTAAAGCTGCTGTGCACAGGCTGAGCTGTTAATGAGGGGGGTGAAATCAGTGGCATAACAGGGATGAGATCTGAAGTCACCTGATTTATATTTCACAGAGGAGCTTTAGAAAACAATCACAGATCCACAGACAAACTCTCCAGAAAGGTTTGAAGATTTTGAAGATCATTCTCCATCCCAGTCAAAACCTCCAGCTCAGATCAGTTTGTTCCCAAAGTGGGAGCAAAGCCTTTAGTGCATTACCCAATTTAGTTTCAAATCTCCCAGGGACAGAGATTCCATGGGACACACAGATAAATTAAGGCAGCAGAAAGCAAAAAGGGTGGCTCTTTCCTGAAGGGGAGCTAACTCAGACATCACAAGACACACTGAAAAGCTTTTGCATGCCCAGCCTCCCTTTGTGTCCTTGGAAAGGCTGCCTCCTGCCCCCAGGACAAGGATAATTTCAATTAGCAGGGAGCACACAGGGCTGGCAGCTGCAGAGCACAAGGACTTCCAAAGGGAAACAAGGCAGGGAAGGGATTCCTTACCTCCAGGCCTGTACACCACATCATCCTCGGTGATGAAGGACGTGATCTCCCCGTTGTCGGTCCTCTCGTAGCGGGATTTCTTCTTGGGGGGTTTCTTTTTGCTCTTCTTGGTGGACTCCTCGGTGGTGGCACTGTTGTTGTCGTTGTCCTCATCCTCGCTGTGGTCGCTCTCCGCGTAATTCTTGGCCCCCCCTTCCAAGGTGCAGCTGCGCCGGGGCCGGGAGTTCTCGCTCTCCCTCGCCTTGTCCCTCTTGTCCCGCTCCTTATCCCGGTCTCTGTCCCTGTCCTTCTCTTTGTCTTTGTCTTTCTCCTTGTCGGCTGTCATGATTCGCCACGTGCCTTCTTCTGTCCTCTCACGGCTGGGCCTCCGTGAAAGGTAGACAGTGAGCCTGGGCTTCAGTCTTCTGAATTTCTCACTCAAATCCAGGAAAAATTCGACCACTCCAACAACCCCAGCGTTTTAAAAAGGTTCTTGAAGGGGTGAGGGGAAAGAAAGAAGGGAAAAGCCCATGTTAATATTCGAAATTCTCACCATTTCTGCAAAAATAAAAATTCAAACCCCCACCATCCCAAAGCAACTCGGTCAGAATTGTAAAATACAAAGCAGCTCTTTGAAGGCTTCACAGAAATAACAACTTCAGTGTCTGTAAAATGTTTGAAGCCACTTCCCTCCTCAGAAAGATCCTCACAACTCCTTAAAAAAAAAAATTCTTCTGTTTGCTACAGACAGGCAATAACTTCTGGGATTCAGAAGTGCTCACTGAGAACACACATCACTTTATACCTGCAGCTAACAGGAAGGAAAAAAAGCAATTCCATAAAAGATTTAGGAAGGGACAAGTGCAAGAAAGGAGGAGTTCCTTTCCTTTCCTCTGGCTCCCAACTGGAAGCAAATGAAGGAGTTCAGCAAATGGCTGGATTGTTTCACATCCCCACACCACTCACAACGGATGCCCTACAAAGCTGGGACAGAGTAAAGGATGCCATCTGCCACTTCCAGGGCAATCTGTTAGGAAGTCCTGCCCCTATCCTGCTTTTCCAAAAATAGAGCCAACCTGTAATCCACAGATTACAGGAATTAATTAATTGAAACCAAACCAAACCGCAGGAGTTACAAATGCACTAACAAAACCTGCCTTTCCATAGATAAAAATAGGATCTTTCCTGAAAGGAGAGTGTTTCAAAAAGGAGGCATCCAACACACAAAGGTAAATTATCTTTTTTCCCCTGATTCACCAATTTACTCACATCTAACTCCTGACTTTTCAGGAAGCTGCTACTTGGTGCAATGAGAACTTCACCCACTGTGTGGAAAGCTGCAGCCTCAAAGGCTGGGGCCCTGAGAACATTCATTGTTCATGTGTTAAGCTTTTGAAACCACATTAGAGAAGGAAAAGGACTATTTTCATCTTTAAGAAGTCAGCTGAGCAGTCAGTGATCCCCTGCACTTGACATTCCTTCAGCCTGACAGGAACCTCAGACCACAACATTCCCTGTCGACTCCCACCTCCAGCAATGGAAACAGCAAGAGAGAGAGACAAATTGCTTTTGCTGATGCAATTCAGGCTGTGCCTTGAATCTCTCAGGCATTTCCTGAATGAACAGCTCAGGTAGGAAATGATTCTGTTTTCTTTCCCTGTTATAGCAGCTGCCATCACTCTGATAACACACCGGGGGAATCCAATGAAACTCCAGTGGAGAAGAGCACAATGAACCTGTCAACTGCCAGAGAAGCTGCAGGTAATAGTGAGAGCAAAGCTCTGCAGGGATTCAATAAGAAATGTCTTAAATTTCCAGAGGTTAGGGAATTCCCCAGCAGCAAACTTGGGGTTTTTTTTAACTCTCACTGTTGATATAAAGATCACTCTGGTGAAAGGATCACACCCCTCTTGTGGCACAGCTGATCTCAGCACAAGCACCTTTCTCTGGCAAGTGCAAAATGTGTCTCTTTAGCCTCTAAATAATTTCCAATTAAAAAAAACCAATCATCCATCAGTCACCACAGTATTGAATTATTGGGGATGGGTGGCACATGAACAGAAAGAGCAGGTTTGAACCTGGACAGCTACAGGGCTTTTCCTTGAAGCCCCAAACTTAAGAAGGTGCCAACCACCCCACACAGCTCTGAACATAAAGGAAAAATGATTTTAAAGTCCCTGTCTGAAGGAAAAATAAACTGAAGTTAATTAATAACTGATAGATAATACATCCATATTAATTTTATCTGCATCTGAGGCATTCTGAGCTCCTCTTCATAACCCACAACTCTAAAGGAAGCAGAGTTGTGCAAATAACCCTGGAAAAAGCAGCCAGGCTCTCACTGCAGGCTGCTCCTGGCCAAGTTTTATTTGGAAAGCAAATTCCAAGTGAACCATTTTACACCAGTGGAGTCTGTTCAAGAGCCAACACCACATCAAACCCAGTGAGCTCCCCGTGCCTGGGGGGTAAATCACTTCCCAGGAGTCACCCCCCAAGTGCAACTTCCCCCCCTTGCCCTGCTCTTCTGTCTCCATCGACCCTTTTTATGGGCAGAGGTAAAACCAATTGGCCAGGAGAGAGAAAACCCCTCCACAGCCCCTGCCATGGAGCACAGGAGAAGCCTCCAAACATCCTCAACTGATGGATTCCAGTTCTCCCCAGGAGCAAGGACCAACCCTGCAGGATTTAAACCCCCCCCACAGCTGCAGGTTTTAAGTCCTTGCTGTTGCTCTCAGATTAAATCCAAACAAAGTACTTCAGTGTTTTTATTACAAGTCCAATTATTAATGGGGATTTTTTTCCTGGGTTTTTGTGTTTTGGGTTGTTTTTTTTTTTGCACAGAGGAGGAACGTTGAATAATTAAAAACCACGTTCAGAATGATTTTGTTTACTGGAGGGCTGGGCAATAATTAGTGTAGAGCACAGTCAGTCTGTTCAGCTGTGAAATTTCCAGCTAAAAAAACACAGCCAAATGGCCACTCTCCTCCCAGCTCCCATTTCAGGAGATTCCAGAACAAGTCATTTCCACAGCCAATGTATTTATGAACAGCAGAGGCAGCCTCTTCATCTTATCAGTCCCTACCTTGGGATGCAATCTCAGCACGAGCACTGTTCAACTTTCTCACATAAGTACATCCCATTTCCAAGACTATTTTACTCCAAATGCTCCATTTCAAAAGTTTTGCAGCATTCAACCCACATCACCGTGAAGCAACGACTACTTCTGTCTAAGAATAAAGCAATCCCATAACCTTAAATTCAGCTGCAACAGGACCAAGAAAAAACACGACAGAGAAAAGATAATGTTACACAAACTCAACTGTTTAACAGCAATACAGGGCTGCCAGAGGAGCAAAGAAAAACTGTTTAATCAGCAGCCACCTAATTAAGATTAAGCCATTATTACCACAAAGAAGTATTTGATTAAGAAACTTTATTATTTAAGCAACGAGCCAAACGTGTTTTGAAGATTCCAAGATATATTTTGCTTTTATGGTGAGACACAACATTGTCCCCTGCTGCATCCCTGCTCTTTATTTACCACCACCAGAAACCAAAAGCAAAGAGCTGTCTATAGATAAAGGACACACCCAGTATCTGGAAGGATCCCTTTGAGCAGAAGAGCAGAAAGTTTCTTACACATCATCTAAACTTCAGTGTTGGGGTTTTATTTCACATGTTCTCACCTCGCCCACCAACCACCCTGGAACAGGAGGATGTTACAGACTCTACATGTTGCTGAATCACTCTGGACCAAAATGGAAATAGTGTGAAAAAGTATCTGCTGGCTCAGCATCACTCCTCACTCCCAGGTGTTGTGGTGGGTTCAGCACTTGTGGAATTCTGAATGAACGTGGAACCCGAGGAAACACCAGCACAAAACCCACAAAAACACTCCAAGCCTTCTTTTTTTGTTCTCTAAAGCAAACTGGGGTAATACAGCACACAGCAATCACACAGATGTTTAACTCTGGATTAGGACAGCAGAGGCAAATACACTGAAAATCCGGGTTTTGGCAAGCTCTGGGGTTTGAGTTTCCTGTAATTTTATTCACTGGCAGCCCCTCGTTCTCCCTGTACCAAACCACCACCAAAGCAGCTGCTTCTGTCATTAAACTACAGAAGAGAAATTCAGGTTAAGCACCACGGGCTGAAGGGCATTAACAGCCTTTGATACCGGTTTACTGCTCCCTCCGTAGGGAATTCAGCTGGGAAAGAAGTCATTTGAGCTAAAAGGGGAACAATCACTTTACAATAGCTGAGCCTGGCATGCAAAGGAGGGGGAGAACAGCCCCTGTCCATTATTTGCTCGATGCAAGTTGAAAAACCTGAGGAAAAATGTTAACTCTGCTGCAATCACACTGAGACTTCGTTGTTGTTATTATTTTTTAACCAGAGCCTCAGGATACGTCCACTTCTCCCAGTAAGTTTATTACATCCACTGTGGGAGAGCTTCCTTTGCCTCCACCCTGTGTGCCACCAGACTTGAAAGGTCTTTTTTATCTGAAATTGTTCAGAGATCAAACACGAGCCAACAACACGTTTGCAGAGTCACTCACTGAAGTTTTCTGTTCTCTGCTTAGTAGCAAAAAAATGCAGATACCGATGACCTCACGACACATTCGAGTGTGCTGATTCCTGTTTAAAAAAAGGCTCAGTGATGAAGGAACAGAGCAAACTGGGACCAGGAACCTTGGGTTTGAGTCTGGGGCAGGCAGGATGGAGGAAAGTTGGCACTGAGTGTCTCGGGAGAAGTCTGGAAGCAGGTGCTTCACCAGGTCAGAACTGGCCCCTGCAGTGCTCTGCTGAGTGCTTGCAAACACTCCTTTTGTACAGAAAAGGTGTTTAACATTGCACAGCAGCCTCTCAGAACAGTTAAGGTGGAACCAACTGCAGACAAGTCCCAAGGATCCCTCCCCTGCCCACAGCAGTTCTGGAGGAAAACTTCAGTGCCAATGAAGTGGAAAGCAAAGCCCTGCCGGGTCCCTGCATTCCTGACACCTCTCTGCAGCCTTCACCTCTCTGACAGGCAACTCCAGAGCAGCATCACTCCAAAAATAGCACACAGAGCTCCCAGCCACCCCTCAGGGCACAGGATACACCTGCACTTTCAACTAGTCCTTCTCTAGTCAAGCCCAAAAGCACCCGGGTGTCAGGCTGGACTCTCACTAAACCTCAGTTCCACTCCCAAAGACAGAGAACAAGAGATGTCATGAGGAATATTACTAGACCTGCCTCTGCATTTTCAAGTGGAACCTAAAAGATGGTCTTGCCAAAGTATCTTTGGAGAAATCAAGCAGGCACAATTTAACCTTTAACTCAAAAACCTGAAGTGCAGAAGTTCATAATCACTATTTTCAACTTATTGCCCCATATTCACTTGGCTGGGGGGGGGGGGGTGTTCTCCAGCATTTTAAATCTAGTTCAAATTAGAAGTTTCAGCATTTGTTCAGCCACGAATTCCCATCCTCCCATCCCAGCCCAGAGAGCAG